TAGGAACACAGGCAGAAGCAGAGGAGGGCTCTTAGTGCTGCCGAGCACAGGCCGCGGCTTGACGGCTTGACGTGTGGCCCTCAGCTGGCTGGCCCTGGCTGGAGAATTTCTCCGCAGGTCATTGGTTTTACCACAGCCTTGTTTGGAAACCATCTATGTTCTAGGAGCCCATGGAGAACAGGCATCTTATTTTTAAAATCAATTTGAAGCTAAAGTGGACTTTTTAATTATAAATGAGAGCAATGAAAATATAGCTATTGAACTTTATTTTTGTTATTTTGGCCTTGTAAAAATTAAAAGTAAACTTTTTTAACTCGAGAGGATTTTATAAAATCTCCCCATTTTGTGTACATTTCAGACATGAGACTCTACCACCCCAGAACCCATTTGAGAGGAATTTAAAGCTCAGGAAAGTAGCAGCTCTCTTCAAGTTTCTGAGTAACCGAACCTTGTAGATAACAACAGATTGGAAGATAGAATCAGTTAATCCCTGAACTCAAGGAACCCTTGGCCCATAGCCCAGACAATACAAGATGCTGAAAATTGGTCTGGTCCCAGCCTCACGTAAACCTGTTTCTCCTCTCCTGAGAAGAATGTGGCTTTTGACCACTGCGCAGTGTGAGAGCCGGCCTCACTGTGACGCCTCAATGAAGGCAAGAACAAGTGACTTGCAGTGGAGGGCATCGCCTAGAAGGTGGTAAAGGCCAGGCAGGTACCTGCGGCCCAGCTGCTGCTCGGCGATGAGGCTGGCAGCCAAGTCTAGCACCAGCCTTTTCAAAAGCAGCCCTTTTGATAACACTGATTACATTTCCCTTACCGGAGCCTTGGGCTAATTGAGCAACAGCCAACTTCTCCGGGTAACAAAGAGGAGGGGAAAGTAATCCAAACACAGGTTTGATTATAAAAACCAGGGAGTGAGGGAAGTATGTTTATTCTGTAAGATAACACACCTGCTGGGTGCCGGGAGGCTCATTCCCATCAGTTGCCATGGCAAACTCGTTATACTTCAAGGCCATGTGGCTTTGTTTCCTTTTGGGATCTGGTCCTTGTCCTACCTTTTCTAACAACTCCAACACAATGACATGGAAGCCTGCGACAGCATAATTGATTTCTCCTTCCCTCTATCAACGGTTCGCATTTGTTCGGCACAGGACTGAGTCTGCCTTCTCCTTTGAACTCCTTGCTAAGCATGAAGGCATGCTTCAGAGAGCCATCCTCATTAACATTCCAGGTCCCTCTTCCCTGTCAGCAATAAACAAGCCCTGCATCAATGGCCTCCTGCCTTCCACTTTTACAAATGAGTGGCTCAGTTCCATGTTTTGCTGCCGATCCAGGTGCCCAGGCGCATACAATGCGAGGCTAAGAAGCACGCGGGAGGGACTAAAAATAGAACAGCAGTTTTGGATACATACCAGAGCAGCTACTTCATCTCAACTTGCTTTGCACACTAAGCCTAATGGGATCCATCAGGCATGAGTTCTCTCGCGCTAGCTCCCTCCCTCTCCCCTTTCTCCCCAGCTGCCGATTTCCATCAGCGCCTTCCTGGTGAAGGGAGCAAAGGGAGGTCAGGCAAGGGACAAGAAATGTGTGCCCTTATGGTTTTCATTTACAAGCCCTGGGAGATCTGGGGGCTGCAGTTACTCCTTCCATAAGAGAGTTTCTAGAAAAAAAGCAGGCAGGCCCAGAACATGGTCACCTCTGCTCAGGTACCCTTTGGTCCAAGACTTTCTTTGTTTAGCAAAGCCTCAAATATCACTTCCTAATCACCCAATACCTATAACCTGGACCCATGCTCGTATGTTCCTTGAAAAGTTAAGTAGAAAACTAAAGTAAACTGAGTGACCCTCTTACAGATCCCACCTGCTTGCTTGAGGCTAAGAATTTGGGAGCAAATGCACAGTGAGTTGGCAACACATGACTGCCAGGGTCTGCAAAAACCACCCACCTGCCACCAAGTACCCTATTCGAAAGTGATCCTGTCCTAAAGCATTTTCCAATAGAAAATGGAAGAAGTCATATGCAGTTAGGAACATGCTATCCTGCCTGGGCACAAGACCTCCCAGCATGCCAGCTGTGTTGACTGAGCGAGGCTCCTTTGTGCTCCTACAGTGCCTCGTGCAGCCTCCCCGCAAAGGCGAGCCAGCATGACCATACATTTCTCATGTCTATATCCGAAAGGTAATGCAGATGTTCCAAACAGCTAAGTATTATTCCAAGAAGTGCCATTTTTGTGGAATCAGAATTGTGATAGGAAGGGCTGGACATGATGGCTCATACCTGTAATCCCAGCACTTTGGGAGGCTGAGGCAGGCAGATCACTTGAGGTCAGGAGTTAGGATTCCGAGACTAGCCTGGCCAACATGGTGAAATGCAGTCTATACTAAAAGTACAAAACTTAGCTGGGCTTGTGGTGGGTGCCTGTAGTCCCAGCTACTAGGGAGGCTGAGGCAGGAGAATCGTTTAAACCTGGGAGGCAGAGGCTGCAGTAAGTTGAGATCGCCGCACTATTGTACTCCAGCCTGGGTGACAGAGTGAGACTGTCTTAAAAAAAAAAAAAAAAAAAAAAAAAGAATGGTGACAGGAAGATGAATATCACAGTATTTAGAAACCTTTTTCATTGTTGATGTTTTGTTTTGGAGACTGGCCAGATACAAGTAAAAGAAACTGATCTGGGCCAGGTGAGGTGGCTCACAGCTATAATCCTAGCACTTTGGGAGACCAAGGTGGGAGGATTATTTGAGCTAGGGGGTCAAGACAAGCCTGGGCAATACAATGAGACCCCGTCTCTACAAAATAAATTTTTTTTTTTTCTTGAGACGAAGTCTTGCTCTATTGCCCAGGCTGGAGTGCAGTAGCATGATCTCTGCTCACTGCAACCTCCACCTCCCTGGTTCAAGCAATTCCCCTGCCTCAGCCTCCCAAGTAGCTGGGATTACAGGCATGTGCCACCATACCCAGCTAATTTTTTTCATATTTTCAGTAGATACAGGGTTTCACTGGTCTCGAACCCCTGACCTCAGGCAACCTGCCTGCTCAAGAGGCTGAGGCGGGGGGATCACTTGAGCCCGGGAGATTGAAGCTTCAGTAAGCCGTGATCATGCCACTGTACTCCAGCCTGCATGGCAGAGCAAGACCATGTCTCTAAATAAATAAGTTGATCTGACCAATAGCAGACTTTGCCTGTAAGCATCAGGCATGTGTCAAGACCTTTTATATTGTGCCTCCGTTTCATATAATACCAGTATAAGATAAATATGCCAAGCCACTTCAAGAAAAGTCATACTTCATATAATCACAGCAATAATTAATTCCCCGAAGAATTTCCAACAGAACAAGTTGCAACATGATCATTTAATCCTCCAGTCACTAGAGAAAGGAGGTACTTCTTCCCTCGGAGAGGGAAGTATCTCCTCAGGAGGCAGGTCATTTGTTGAACACATCTACTGTGAAAAACCAGAAAGCTTTCTAGATTCATCAAATAAATGTCTGCAGTCTGGAAATCAGAACATCCGGGTTCTAGTCCTAGGATGAACTAGACAAGCCACGGCTGCTCTGAGCCCTGCTTTCCTTGTGTATAAAACAAAGCTGCAGGGGTATATGATTTCTAGCGTCTCTTTCTAGACTGAAAGTTCCATAACAGAAATAAATGATCTGATAATTTAATTGATTTTTGTGCTTTCTTCCTTTTTTTCCCCCTTTGGTTGTTGTTGTTGATTTGGTTAGTAGGCTAAAGTAGAACTATTTATCTTGAAAAATAGTGCATAATTCTCTGGGATGAGAGGCATTTCTTCTCTGTGGTATTTTCCCACAGTGTAACCTTCCTTCTCTTTTCATTTGCCACTAGGAGGTGGGTCTCACTGATTCTTCCTGGTTCATTAAGAAGAAACAGAAAGATCCTGTGTTTTCAGAGACTTTCTGGATCATTTCCCATGATCATAGGACTTTGCAATCCACTTGGCAAAGGTGGTGGTGACAATGGGGTGTTTGGCAAAGTGGATGAGGTAGTTGACGAAGCAGCTGGGATAAAGAAAAATGCTCTTGGCAAAACATCACGAAACTAGGGTGGAATGTTCAAAATGGAGAACTTGCATCCCTTGCTGAGATGACTCCGAGAAAAATTCTGTCTTTAAAGAGGTGATTTATTTACCAGGAAACAAAGAAAACGGTATCAATAGCAATAATTTTTCTGAGCACTGAGCTGAGAAATAGCTAGTCTAATAGCTATTCATAGCTATGATTGTAGCCATGTACTGAGACCTCTTTGAACAATCTAGAAGTCAAAATAGATTGGAAACCAGTCACTAAAATTAAAAATTACATTTAAAATTCTAAATTAGTCATTAAATATTAAATAAGAACCTAACCTTTCATTCCACAAACCCACCCCTCCTATCAGTGTAGGTCTGAATAAAGCCTTGGGGCTAAGAGGTTATTTTTACTAAGTCAGCCCTACCCCACTTCCACCCCAAAAAGTATCTAAAGATGAATGCCTGAGGACCAGCATAACATCTAAATCAACCAGGTGTTAATCTTACTGTCAGTGCTCTCAAATAGTTGTTACAATTCCTTTGATGGGCCGGGCGCGGTGGCTCACGCCTGTAATCCCAGCACTTTGGGAGGCCGAGGCGGGCGGATCACAAGCTCAGAGATGGAGACCATCCTGGCTAACACGGTGAAACCCCATCTCTACTAAAAATACAGAAAAATTAGCTGGGCGTGGTGGCGGGCGCCTGTAGTTCCAGCTACTCGAGAGGCTGAGGCAGGAGAATCACTTGAACCCGGGAGGCGGAGGTTGCAGTGAGCTGTGATTGTGCCACTGCACTCCAGCCTGGGTGACACAGTGAGACTCCATCTCAAAAAAAAAAAAAAAGTGCTTTGATGTTGGTGGTCATTGGATCTCATAGAAATTTCAGGGGCCAAGCTTTCGTCACCTGGCCAAGTGCGTGTGTGTGTATATGTGTGTGTGTGTGTGTGTGTGTGTGTACTTTTTGTTTGGTTTGTTTTTTGCTACCGGTGCTACCAGCTGTAACACTTTAATGACTCTTTGTGGAACACCAGGGACCACTGTTCATCAACCTCCTGGGGTAGGAAGAGTGGAAGGAATGAGTGGCTCAGAGCTTAGGACAGGTCTCTGAAGGGAGGAAGGGTTAATAACATCACATTACTAAATCGTTGCAAACTAGAAACATTTCAGAGTAATTGCTGATGTCATTTTATTTACAAATGTGTGTCGAATCCTTAATGATGGTGTCATCTCAGACTACAAAAGATAATGAAAAAAGAGAAAGAAGACTTGAAATTTGTGTTTGGGATGTTTTCCAGGTTATCCAAATAAGAAAGTCAGTTCTACCCGGTCTCAAAACTACGGAACTTATGTTACATGTCATAAAGTCTTACAAATGAGTACTTATGTTATGCTAGTTTTTCTTCTCTTTTCCTATTTTTTAAAGAACAAAGACATTCGTCTCGCCCAGCAGACATCTAAATTATAAAGTAAATGGAACTATTGTTCTTTGCAATGCATTAGCAATGTTTCTTATTTAGAGTTGACAAGTATTTGTCCTTTCCCTGTGCTGACATATAAGAGTTGGACTGGGCTGGGCGTGGCGGCTCCCATCTGTAATCCCAGCACTTTGGGAGGCCGAGACAGGTGAATCACTTGAGCCCAGGAGTTCGAGACTAGCCTGGACAACATGGTAAAACCCTGTCTCTACAAAAAATACAAAACTTAACCAAGCATGTTGGTGCACACCTATAGTCCCAGCTACTTGGGAGGCTGAAGTAGGAAGATCACCTGAGCCCGGCAAGGTCAAAGCTTCAGTGAGCTGAGACTGTGTCACTGCACTGCAGCCTGGGAAAGAGTGAGACCCTGTCTCAAAAACAAAGAAAAAGAAAAGGTGGACTGTCTTGCAGCACAAGTGAGCCTTGTTTAAGAGGCTAGTTGATAAAGAAGGGGAAGCAGCAGCTTTCAGCCCCAAAAAGTCTTCACTGGCTTAGTAGCTTGGGCCATAATTAAAGCCATCCCACCTTTACAGTTTATGTAGATTTGATACATGTATACATATTTTATATATGGATATGTGTATGTGTTCTTTTTCTGGATACCAGATAAACAAGATATATAGATACAGATAGATATCCAAAATTATCAACCCGAGGGTACTGTTGAAGATTTGTTTATTTATTTATTTATTTATTTATTTATTTATTTATTTTGAGACAGAGTCTCACTCTGTCGCCCAGGCTGGAGTGCAGCGGCACGATCTTGGCTCACTGCAAGCTCGGCCTCCCGGGTTCACACCATTCTCCTGCCTCAGCCTCCCCAGTAGCTGGGACTACAGGCGCCTGCCACCACGCCCAGCTAATTTTTTTGTATTTTTAGTAGAGACGGGGTTTCACCATGTTAGCCAGGATGGTCTTGATCTCCTGACCTTGTGATTCACCTGCCTCAGCCTCCCAAAGTCCTGGGATTACAGGTGTGAGAAGATATTTTTTAAAAGAGGAATATGTTGGCTGGGCATGGTGGCTCACACCTGTAATCCCAGCACTTTGGGAGGCTGAGGTGGGCGGATCACAAGGTCAGGAGTTTGAGACCAGTCTGGCCAATATGAAACCCCGTCTCTACTAAAAATACAAAACTTAGCCGGGCATGGTGGCAGGCGCCTGTAGGCCCAGCTACTCGGAAGGTTGAGGCAGAAGAATCACTTGAACCGAGGAGGCGCAGGTTGCAGTGAGCCGAGATTGCACCACTGCACTCCAGCTTGGACTACAGAGTGAGACTGTCTCAAAAAAAAAAAAAGAAGAAGAAGAAAATGTCTCTGTTAAGAAAATGTAAATTTATCCTCTGAAAGACATAATTATGAAAATGAAAACTCAGTCACTCCTCAAAAGAATATTTAGAATTTAGACTTCAAATCTTTTAGAGTGATTAGAGATGCTTTTGTCCATGTCATTTTATAAATGAGTCCCTGGAATCTAAGAAAAGTGAAAGGACTTGCTAAAGGTCACACAGCTAATTGGTGGTAGAACCAAAATTAGAACACAGACTATAATTCTAGCCTACATTCCCCGTCACTTCACATACATATGCAAATATTTTTACCTATGTAGTCAGATCCTGAGAACCGTAATCATACTATTTAGAATCATGGTTATATGCTATATAAAGTTGTTTTGTTAAAAATGGGTGTTTTTGTTTGTTTGTTTGAGACGGAGTCTCGCTGTGTCTCCCAAGCGAGAGTGCAGTGGCATGATCTCAGCTCACTGCAACCTCTGCCTCCCAGGTTCAAGCTATTCTCCTGCCTCAGCCTCCCAAGTAGCTGGGATTACAGGTGCACACCATCATGCCCAGCTAACTTTTTTGTATTTTTAGCAGAGATGGGGTTTCAACATGGTGGCCAGGCTGGTCTCAAACTCCTGACCTCAAATGATCTGACTGCCTCAGCTTCCAAAAGTGCTGGGATTACAGGTGTGAGCCAGTGCGCCCAGCCTAAAAATCTTTATTGCAAGAATAAACCTTCTATGATTATGGTTTAAAAGGGTTGTTTAACTAGCTGGCTTTAATCCTTTAATACAGAGTGGTCTGTTATATTTATCTAATATTATATCTAAGCAGTTTTGTTGATGTCCCTGGAAGCAACCGTATCATTATAAATTATATGTATCTATCTCCTTTGAGATAAGTAAAACATAATCTTACAAAAGAGTAAACATTTTATTATTTGTACATGAATCAGTTTGGTCTGAGGATACACAAGCATCTGGCTAACTCATAAAAGTAGCCTGAAGTGATAGGAGAGTGTTCGTAGTCATTTCCATTTGCTGCCACATCCCTTGCATTATCTACTTGCTAAGCACTGAGCGGCCCAGAATGGACACATCAAACTGTCAGGAGGAACATGTGGGACCCTGGCACCTGCAGTGGGTTTTTTAAAAGCAGAGAATGCAGAGCAGCCGCAGACTCTACTTCAAAGCCAGGGTGTGTGGAGGTCTCCGGGGAAGAACTCTGCACAACAGGTTTCCTGGGGGCCAGAGGGCCTCTCGGGAAGGAACAGAGAAAACACCAGCCGGGAGTGCTACCGACCAGCCTCAGCTAGAATGCTGTCAGAACAGGGCCCCAAACAGGGCCTAGCCTCAGTAATCTGGGGATGAACAGTGTCACAAGGGAACCACCTGAAGGGTGGGCAGAGGCCCCCGTGGAGGAGCCACATACTCTTCCTCTCTCAGCAGCCGCAGCAGGATGTTTTTTTTATTCTTGGGCCAGCTGTAGACATGAGTGTTCTGAAGCCAGGTGGGCACATGCTCCTATGGGAGACAGAATGACAGGAGCAAAGGTCATTAGAGAAAAACCTGGATTCCAGATCCCAGGCTCCGTTCCCAAATATTTCTGGCTTTCCCTACATGGGCGTTTCCTACCAAACTATCCTGGGAGTTGTGCTGTTTTGCTTTTGGAAAGGTTTAGCATGTGAAATGTTCTTGGCTCCGGGTACAAGCTGTATATCTCATTATAAAAACCACATGTGCACAGCATTTTCTGTCAGTCTCCCAGGCTACCTACCCTTTGCATTTCAACGTGCTTTTCACCACCCTCACATAAAAGGGGTAGGACAGAGGTCACACAGAGTAATGTGAATTCCCCTGTGACTTCAGAAGTAGTATGCCAGGGCTGTAGGCTTAAATCAATTAATTGCCCTTTCACTCCAGCCCCAGGTCTGGCCTGCAGTAGAGGGAGCCCATCAGACCTCAGTGATCAGGCAGAGGCAGAAACTGTTAGCCAGGGATCCTGAGGGTGCAGTGTCAGACTGCCCTCATGGAGTGGATATTCTGGTGGGGAGAGGCAGATCATAAGTAAAATGGATAGTGTGTTCAACGGTGACGCATGCTGTGGAGAAGAATTAAACAAGAAAGGGGACAGGGAGTGCTGGGGCAAGGGTGAAAGATTTGCAGTTTTAAATAGGGTGCTTAGGAGAGGTCTCACTGAGAAAAGGAGCAAAGACCTAAAAGAGTGGAAGAAGCAAGCTCTGTGGTTGTCTGGGTCCAGGCAGCTAGAAGAGCCAGCGCGAAGGCCCTGTGGAGGGAGTGTGTTGGGCCTGGTCACAAGCAACAAGGCTACAGTGAGTAGAGCAGAGTGAGTACGTGCGGAGGAAGTAGAAGGGGCTGTATCGGATAGCACCCTGTAGGCCTCGGTAAGGCCTTTGCTTTTGAGTCTAACTCCCAGGGACTATAGGGCGGGACTCCTCTAGGTACTGTAGGATGTGCTTAGAAGCAGCACCTGCTGCATGGTAGGCATCATGCTGAGTACTGAGGATGCCCAAATGAAAAGGACGCAGGGACTGCCTTGAGGACTTCAAATCTTAGGATGAAAGCAAAATGTCAACAAACGATTTTCTAGTCAATAGTGCACCAAGGGGACAGGTGGTGAGAGCGGCCTGTGCTGAGCTCAGGCAATATGGGCATTCTCTGAAGGACATTTAAAAATAATAACAAAACCAATGAAAATTTGGTCTATTTTTTATACCACCATGCTCCAATAATTCTAAACAATCATTCCCAGTACCCTCAACCCAAACACATACCATTGATCCAAGGTGCTAGAATTAAGCGCTCTTAAGAAAAGGACAATGAAATATATCAGCATGGAGGTAAAGAGGTGTCAGGGCAGGGCGCAGTGGCTCACGCCTGTAATCCCAGCACTTGGGAGGCTAAGGAAAGCGGATTACCTGAGATCAGGAGTTCAAGACCAGCCTGGCCAACATGGTGAAACCCTGTCTCTACTAAACATACAAAAATTAGCCAGGCATGGTGGCGAGCGCCTATAACCCCAGCTACTTGGGAGGCTGAGGCAGGAGAATTGCTTGAACCTGGGAGGTGGAGGTTGCAGTGAGCCAAGATTGCACCATTGCACTCCAGCCTGGGTGACAGAGCAAGACCCTTTCTCAAAAAAAAAAAAAAAGAAAGAAAGAAAGAAACACTTTGGGAGGCCTAGGCGGGTGGATCACAAGGTCAAGAGAACGAGACCATCCTGTCCAACATGGTGAAACCCTGTCTCCACGAAAAACACAAAAACTAGCTGGGCGTAGTGCCATGTCCCTGTAGTCCCAGCTACTTGAGAGGCTGTGTGAGAGGAGAATGGCTTGAATCTGGGAGGCGGAGGTTGCAGTGAGCCAAGATCACACCACTGCACTCCAGCCTGAGGACAGAGCAAGACCCCGTCTCAAAACAAACAAACAAACAAACAAGCAAAAGAGGTGTTGGGGAGGCTAGAGAGATTGGGTGATATAAGGGTAAGTAAGAGTTCACTAGGCAGGCGAGTTAGGGAAGGGCATCGCAAGCAGATGGAACAGAAAAGGCAAAGGCACAGAGATACAAAAGAACACAGCATGTGTGAGAGCATGCTGAAGTGGTCCAGGGTGACCAGAGCACAGAGCATCTACAGAGAATGATGAGAGAGATCTACGCAAGGGGACACAGTCCTCTTCTGAGAGGTCTCATAGCTCATGCTAAGAAAGGTGGATATGATCTTGTAGTCAATGGGAAAACAGCACACAATTTTTAAGCTACCAAGAAACAGATCAGACCTACATTTTGGATGTTCGTCTTTGATGGCAGAGCAGAGGATGGCTAGCACAAGGTCAAAGTGGAGATGAGACCAGTAAGGAGACTCAAAGGTAAGTGAGAGCAGTGAAACTCTGGGCAAAGGCAGCGCAGGGAGGATAGAAAGGTGTGCCATTGTACAGACTGCACATCGTATAGCCTGAGTGTCCCATTCCCATAAACTGGAGCCTCCCTCATCCAGGGCAGAGGTCTCAGTGCAGTCTTGATATCTGAGGATCCCTCCAGGGTGAAACAGGGTCTGAGTTGAGGGTGCTGTGGCCTGATTCTCAGCATGTTTACTCCACCGCCGCCTTCCCTTTGCCAAACCTGGAATGTGGCCTCAGATGGTTTTGCCCCCATTCTCCACCCCCATTCTCCAAACTTACTGGCAGACCTTTCTGGTGTGAAAAGCCTCATATGAATCATAGCAAAGTTCACTCTGGTAACTGTAGATTTAATTCCTGTAATCATTAGCTTTGAGAGCTGAATTATGTACAGTGAAATGCCTCCCTGGAACAGCCAGCAAAAACCATACACATCTTAACTTTTATGTACAAGAGATAAGAAGTATCACATGAACCTTCTCTTTTTCTCTCGAGTTAAAACAGAAACTTTGTGTGCAGTGGTTCTTTGAACAATTAGGACAGCAGTGATCCTATCAGATAGCTTTAAAACCTTTCAGATTCATGCTGCTAAACTGAGTGGTACAACTTGTTGAGCTTTCTGGTAACATTGTTATCTTTAAGGATTGATAAAGAATCCACGGCAGACACGGTGTTTCACGCCTGTCATCACGCCTGTCATCCCAGCACTTTGGGATGCTGAGGCAGGCAGATCACCTGAGGTCAGGAGTTCAAGACCAGCCTGGCTAACATGGTGAAACCCCATCTCTACTAAAAATACAAAAATTAGCCAGGCGTGATGGTAGGGACCTGTAATCCCAGCTACTTGGGAAGCTGAAGAAGGAGAATCACTTGAACCCAGGAGGCAGAGGTTGCAGTGAGCCAAGGTCGTGCCATTGCACTCCAGGCTGGGCAACACATCGAGACTCCATATCAAAAAGAGAAAAAAGAAAAGAAAGAAAAAAACAATGGACAATGTTTTCCACTTAAAATCCCAGATGGCAAAGAAAACCAAAGATTGAATTATGAGGATTTTGTTTCTTTGTTTGTTTACCTTCTTAGCATTTGGGAAGAGCACAGGGATGAATCTGAAATTCATGCTTCCTTGTTTTATGAACTCAATCTGCATCTGAAACCAAACAAATGTGAAGGTTTAATTTCAGGAATGAGGATGAGGAGTTAATGGTACCCATAATCACGCACGTCCCATGGCATTTTTCTTCTGATTCCATACTTGAGTGCCACACACTTAGCATTTTAAGGCCTCCCCATTACACATCTATTCCATTCACTCATCAGTCGATTATTGGCGGCCTATTAGAAGTCACATTCTATGTCCGACTTTGGGTTTGAAGGATTAGGATACACCTCCAGGGTATGCTGGAACTGGCTTGCAGCAGCTCACAAAAGCTGGTTGTGTGCATCTCTTCCTAATTCTGTGTTCAGTGACTTTACACTGATAGCTTGAAACTGGCGATGGTATTGGAGAGTATTTATACCATGGAAGTAGGTAAGTGCTATAAATCAGGAGAGCCAGCTTAGCAGAACACCACAGATACAGTCCCTATCTTCACAAAGCCAGCAGTCTAGTGGGCAGGCAGAAAGGGAAATTACCAACCAAAGTGCAGGGTGAAAAGTATGAACAACTGCTCCAGAAGCCCAGAGTGGGGGCCATCCATTCTACGTCGGAGACTGGAAGGACAATTACAAAAGAGGGTTCATTTGGGCACTGAAAGAAAATAATTTGGTCAAGTAGGGAGAATAGAGGCAAGGAGAAGGACCTTCATAGCAGAAGCAACAGCATGAGCAAATGTCTGGAGGTGTGAAAGTGTGTTGATGTGGTTGGGACCAGCTACTAATGCACTGTGGCTGGAGCACAAGATGGGCTTGGCAGAGAGGGGCTGTCAACTGTGAAGAGCTCCGTCTGCCAGGCTCTAGGTTTCTCACACCAGTTCCAATATGCTCTGACACTGCGGTAGCCCAAGAGGATTTAGCTACCAAGAGCTCTCTCAAAAATCAGAATTTTCAATAGGAGTTAGAGTCTTCCAAATCCTGTGACCAGCACAAAGCTTTTGGTCATCTGATGAGAAGGAGACGAGGAATTATGTGTTTCCAACCATTTCATCTTCCAATTCATTTTTATAACTGAGAAGTTTTCATTGTGCATCGAAATAACAGAACAGAGAAGAAAGTGACAGTGGTGATGGCCATTATTGAAATCACCATAGAAACCCCTCATAAACACACACTCTCACATACTCGCATACACAAACACACATACACGATCACACAACACACACAAATCCTCCACAGGGTGTGTTCTCGGAATCATCTCTCTCCAAAAACCAGAAGATAACACCAAGCACATATTTTAAAATGACCCAAGTACTGTGCAGCTAGAAGCACCCACCACTCCAGCACCAAGTACACATGAAAGGAAGGGGATGGAGTACATAAGTTAGTTACAAGTGAAGCGCTGAGTTTTGTCTGACTTCTAGGACTCCGTATACTGTGAAGGACTCTGTATACTGTGAAGGACTCCGTATACTGTGAAGTTTGGCTTGTGCACTAGGCTGCCCAGCCTGTGGAGGGGCCAGCCAGCAGCAGTGCATTTTTATTTTCTCTCATCCTTCCAGATACTGAGTTTCTGTAAACTAATTCACTCTATGATGCAGTTACTCATCAGTACCTCTGCACTACCTCTGTCATGGCCAAGTTCTTATTGTTCCAGGGTTTTCTGTTGCCTAGAGGGGTCCAGGAAGTCAGCCAGGCAGGCAGGAAGGCACTTCTGTATCTGACCTCTTTGACCCCTTCTGTGATGAGTAAGGGCCCAAGACATTGTGGCCCAAGAAACCAAGTTTGGAGACAGTCTGGTTCCAGTTGGTACAGTCAGACAAGCTCTGAGGCCAAGCTGTGTATTACTGCCTGGCTACACCACACACCCACAGAGCTAGACAGGTTTCCTTAGGAACTGGCTGAGGCCTCGAGCCCTTCCCACGCACCAGCTGTCAGCTTCTGGGACTGGCAGGTTGCTAGAGATGCAGACAGGACATCGGGCGCTCTGAGGCCATGCAGTTGTGCATCAGACAACCAGGGGCCGGCAGCACCCAGAGCCAGCCGTGACCTTTTAAGGCAGTTTACTCCCAGAAATGATACCTTTCCGGAGCACTGTACAAGGACTGTGAGACTGGTTGAGACCAGAAGAGGAGGGAGCCTTATCTCCTGACTCCCTGGCCTCATTTTTTAACCTCGTCCCCTTGCCTTGGCTCTTCCTTCAGCTTGGGTATGAGCTCACATGAGTGGTCTGCACTTGGTGGAAAGGGAGACAGAGACCATGAAAACTCAGATGGGAACACCTACCCTGCTCCTTTCCCACGCTGCTGACCCACAGGACAGACCTGGGACCTATGTCTGCTTCCCCTGAGATAAAGCTGTGTGCCCCGAGACAGCCTGACTGTGTCCTCCCCATCTTCCCGTCTTAGTGACACTCTATGCCCATTCCAGGTGCCTTCCGCCTCATGGAGTGTTAGAGCTGAAATGGAGCTTATCAGTTCTAGTCCAGTGATTTTCCAAGCCTTTTAAAATCTCAGAATCCTCGGTCAACTAACAAGCCTGAGAAGTACGAACCAGCTCTGGCTGAGGTGGGGGTGGGAGGCACAGACCCAGCCCCTCCTCCAGCACGTATGGACACCCATTGGGAATTCCACAGGACAGCCTGAAAATCACAAGTGTAGCAATGTATCCCAGTCAAGCAGAAACTGTCTTCACAGCGTCTCTATGATCACGGGGAGCAGGAGGAGTGGTAGACCATAAGACAGCCAGTTCCAAAGCTGGGTGATTGTTTCGGTCAAATGTTCTAGTTTGATCCCATGCTGAGCAAGTTGAATATCATCAATGTCTCCCACTGATTTGAGTATAACCAGGCCCCATAGTTCCCCACCTGTCATGAGCTAAGAACACTCCCTTCCCTTGTTTGAGCATCTGATATGCACCAGATATTTTGAAAACATGATTTCATTTCATCTTCACGACAACCCTGTAAGTATTAGCAACCCATTTTGTGAATAGGGACATTGAGGCACAAAGAGTTTAAGCAGTGGAGCCATGATCACACAGCCTGTACGTGAGGAAGCCAACTTTAACCAGGCCCACGTGATGCAACAGCAGGTGTCCCTTTCACTACGCCACCTGCCTTTCTGAAAAGGTAGGGCACAGAACATGATACAGCTGCAGGAGCCAGCCCTCCTCACTGCCCTGTCTCCCGCCTCCTAGGACTTCATAGTTGCTGGTAAACAGCTAAGCCAGCAGAGCACGTCTTTCCAGAATCTTGGATCCTAGAGATCACAGATTGCTCTCCCCTTGCAACTGATAGGAACAGCTGAGTCCCAGAGGTGCAGTGCCTTGCCCACAGTCCCTAAGGTAGATGGAGCCAGAAACAACAGCCCCTCTCCTGACACTGCAGGCCTGGTGCTCTTCACCCAGCATCATGCTGCCTTCAGTTGGTCTCTGGAGAAGAATGGGACTTCCCTGGACAAGGTATCCATCCCCAGGGGACAGTGAGGTGCTGTGATCTCCTCCCCACTCACCATTCGATGAATGTACTTAGTATGTAAGCCATGCTCATCCTCGTCCAGCTGCGACTCAGCGCCTTCCACATCCTGTTTGTATTTGGGGCTGATTGCTACGATTATCATCACGGTCTTCTGTTAATGAGAGGGAGAAAGGCATGTTTATGGGAGTGTAAAGTGTGGTCTGTTTGGTGAAGGCGGGCTGGAAACTGGCCAGCAGGACTGTGGGCATTCTCTGACACACTGGGGACAGAGGGCCAGGCTCATCCTCCATAGAAAGAGAAGCACTGGCCCCCACTCAGGCAGACTTTTGTCTCTGCTTCTCCCTCCATCTCCAGCCCAGCCCCACCTTGAACACGCAGAGCAAATGGTTCAGAGAGGGGCTCTCCCAAAGAGATGTGCTTTTGCCTACCATTGTCCACAACCATCATTAATGAACCTCTAATGAAAGCCCGAATCACTGAGGCAGTCTGCGTCGTGGCAAAAAGGCACTGCGACACCAACGGTGAGAAGCACCCTTCCTCCCCCCAGCTGGTTCTGAGCTGCCAGTCACTGCACTCTTGACTGCCCTGTCTTCTGCGTGTACACATTAGCACAGTCGGTAGGAACAGACCCTTCAGCACAAAGCAAACGTCAGGCTGCAGACAAAAGGAAAAGTGCAAAACCCCAGCCTGCCGAGACTCCCGTCCCCCACCAGCTCCCTCCGAAAGAAGCAGCCGACACGGACACGCTGGCAGCAATCAATTTCGATCTTGTTAAAGCACAACGTGTCCCAGTGGCCGGTATAGATTCTGTCAGTGGAGAACAAATCACGGGGCTGCGCGTGGGCACCTCGGGGGTGGTGTGCTGTTGCAGCCTGCGAGGCTGCCTGGGAAACCTCTTCCGCCCAGTTCTACAAAACACTTGGGGTGGCCTCAGATTAAATTGAATTCTGCTGCTCTCTCCCCACTCTCCGCCTTCATTTCCTTCTTTCCTATTCTCGTCAAAAGATTGTTTCCTCTGATTGTTATCAACCACCTGTGTCTGGTTTGACCGTTATTTCCTGCCTGTGCATGTCCAAGAGGGCGACCCCATCCTTCCTTTCCAAGTCTTTGCACAGCTTCCAACAAGGGAGGCTTTGTTGGGGCTTTCTCAGCTTCAGACTTAGGTGGGTATGCCAGGGTTTCTTTCATAAAACAACTTCGTAAGCTCATTGTCTTTCTCACCAGAAAACAACCTCTGATTTTTGGAATGTACTTACATCCCTAAGGTAGCGCTCCATCCATTTAATGATATCAATGCCTCGGATTCTATCCTCAAATATGTCAATCTGCAAGAAAAAGATGAGGGAGCTGGCCCTTACTGAGAGGTTCTCTCAAGATGCAGAGCAGAAGAAAACACGATACTAGATACATTTCAAGCTCCAAAAGTTAACGAATGCTTTTTGCAAGGAGGAGCACATAGGTCTAAAAAACAAAATATAATTTTCTGAAAATATTCCCTATTTCAACATTAGTAGGCATTTAAGTAGTTAATATTATGTCCATAATTAGGATATTCTGATACACATCAAAATATATCTATGGCTACACAATAATCAGGTTTTTAAAAATCTGAGTGACACAGTATACCACTAAGTTGGATATAAGCCAGCAATATACATACATTATACATCTGTAATTTAGAAATTTGAAAGGCAAACATAATTCTGGAACATTTTAATGGATGTGTGGCATACAAGTAACTGAGATACAATTGTGGTGCTTTACTTGCATTAGTGAGGTCATTATTATGGTATTATGTCCAGTTTCGATCTATATGTTTCAAAAGGATTGTATGAAACTTGGAGCAGAGCCAGGGAACAGTCACAAAAACAATTACTGAAATGGTAGGGAAGAAGTTTATGATGAAAGTCAGAAGTAGAACTCTTAGGCCTTGAAAAGACTGATATTTACTATCAGTGTTCAAGTTTTTGAAGGGATATTTTAAAAGGAGAAAGATCAGTTCTTTTTTATTTTATAAGAAACCAAATAAGGCCCTTCTTGGGCTCAGGCTTATACTGCCGTGTGTGTGTGTGTGTGTGTGTGTGTGTGTGTGTGTGCACATGTGTATTCACGAGGTGCTCTTGATGGGAAGAAGGATCATATACTGGAATGGGTGACTCAGGGAGAGTGTCCCTGGGGAGGGGTTATGTGATTCAGCTGCACTGCTCCCAGATTACTTGTCCTAAATGTCACTCCAGGCCAGGCACGGTGGCTCATGCCTGTATTCCCAGCACTTGGGAGGCTGTGGCAGGCAGATCACTTGAACCCAAGAGTTCGAGACCAGCCTGGGAAATATGGTGAGACTCCATCTCTACAAAAAATACAAAAAATTAGCCGGACATGGTGACATGAACCTGTAGTCCTAGCTACCCGGGAGGGTGAGGCAGGAAGATGGGTTAAGCATGGGAGGTAGAGGCTGCAGTGAGCTGTGGCCATGCCACTGCATTCCAGCCTGAGCAAAAGAACAAGACCCTGTCTCAAAAATAAAAAATAAAAAATAAATGTCACTCCACTGTTTAGGACTGATCAAGTCAAGTCCCAGCCCTTCAACAGGCTTTCTGTGCCATCCATGATCCAGCCTCGCCTCTCTTTTCCCCACATATCCTGTCTACTTTACTCCCCACATTGGTGTCCCCTGTATCCTAAAAGCAGAGCACAAACCCCCCTGCTCTGTGAATCCTTCCTACACGCCAATCTCCTCCTCTTCCTCACTTTACCTAACTCTACCCCATTGTGACCACTAATGATACTGGACAATTAACACATATGATAACATTCTTTTATTCAGGACATGTTTCATTTATGTCTGCTGTGTCTTTTCAACCTGATGCTAAGCTTCCTACGGAAAGAGACCATGCCCTGTGTACGCCAAACTATCACATACGTAGAGTACAGAGTTCAGAATATGTGTCTTTACATGAAAAATGGAATGGCTGTTATTTTGGTTTAGATGACTCCTGTTTTCAAATGTGTGATGGCCAGTGACTACTCTTGAGAACGCTCTTGTAGTTTTCTGTGACTGTGTTGCTAATCCATTGATATTATATGGGAGAGAAGCAATATAGTGTTAGGGTTGAGAAGAAATGGACAGCTTGGGTTCTATCTTGGCTTTGCCACTTCCCACCTGCATGACTTTGGAAATGTTACTAGAACTCGCTAAATTTTATCTTCACTTGTAATATGTGGTTAATAAACTGACTTCCTAGGGTGGTTGTGAGGACTTAAATGAGTTAACATGGAAAAGGCCTATCATAATGCCAGGCAGGAAATGAGCACTCAATAAATGGTGATAATTGGCTGGGCATGACGGCTCACGCCTGTAATCCCAGCACTTTGGGAGGCTGAGGCAGGCAGATCACTTGAGGTTAGGAGTATGAGACCAGCCTGGCCAATATGGTGAAACCCTGTCTCTCCTAAAAAAAGAAAAAAAAAAAAATAGCTGAGCATAGTGGCAGGCACCTGTAGTCCTAGCTACTTGGAAGGCTGAGGTGGGAGGATTGCTTGTGCCCAGGAGGTTGAGGCTGCAGTGAGCTATGATGGTGCCACTGCCCTCCAGCCTGGGCAACAGAGTGAGACCCTGTCTCAAAAAATTAAATAAATAAAAAATGGTGATTATTGTTATTATTCAAGCACTCTAAATTATTCCCAGCTACTGAGGTGGACATCCTGGGTAGTGCAATGAGCTGGATATCTTCCATTTGTTTCTCCAAGTCTCTCCCAAAGTTCATAGCTCCTGTCATGATCATTCCTCCACACAGCTACTATTAGGGGCTGAATTGTGCTCCCAAAATTCCTATGTTGAAGCCCTCTCTCCCAGTACCTCAGAATGTGACTGTATTTGGAGATAGGACCTTTAGAGAAGTAACTAGGGTAAAAAGAGGTGATATGTGTGGGCCCTAATCCAGTAGGACTGGTGTCCAGGGTTAGAACACAGACATGTGTCCACACAGAGGACAGACCATGTGAGGACAGAAGGAGAGGACAGCCAGCTACCAGTCAAGGAGAAATGCCTCAGGATGAAATCAACCCTGCTGAAACTTTGATCTTGGACTTCCAGCCTCCAGAACTGTGCAAAAATAAATTTCTACGCTTAAGCCATCCAGTCTGTAGTACTTTATGGGAATCCTAGCAAACTACTATAGCCATCCTCTTCATGTTCCAGTGAGAATTCCTCCTTTGCCTCTTTAGAACTAGGGGCAGTAACAACTCCCTGCTTTTGCTAGTGCCAGCATACTGCACTATCCCCAATAAAATTGGATTCTCTAAAACCTACCCAAAGCTTTGTAATAGGCCCTTTATTACACTCTCCTTAAATTACGCATTAAGTGTTTCTTTCCACTAAGGGGATCTGGATGTCTCCATAATAACTTAGCTGTCCAGGACTGGGCTCTGTGATTTCTACCACAAGTCTACATAGAGATGAGGGTCAGGGACAGATTTAAATTCTGCTTAAGCAGCCCCTGGTTGCTAAGATAAACAAACAAACAAAACCTAAGCTGTTCTCCAGGGGCAATCAGTATGTGTCTTTGGAAATGACAAAAAGTAATATCTTTTCTGAAATATTGGCCTTATGTCTTATTATTTATTTATATCACAGACCTGGTCTTGCTATATGGCCCAGGCCGGCCTCCAACTCCTGGACTCAAGTGATCCTCACACCTCTGCCTCCCAAGTAGCTGGGACTACAGGCGCACACCACCGCACCCAGTGTAATTTGATTTTATGTCACAGTTGCCACAGTGCTTTCTTTTTTTCTATTTTTTTTGGAGACAGAGTCTTGCTCTATCACCCAGGCTGGATTGGAGTGCAGTGGTGTGATCCCGGCTCACTGCAACTTCCACCTGCCCAGATTCAAGCAATTCTTGTGCCTCAGCCTCCCAAGTAGCTGAGACTACAGGTGCACACCAGCATGCCAGCTTTTTTTTTTTTTTTTTTGAGACAGAGCCTTGCTCTGTCACCCAGGCTGGAATGCAGTGACAAGATCTCAGCTCACTACAACCTTCACCTCCAGGATTCAAGCAATTCTCCTTCCTCAGCCTCCCAAGTAGCTGGGACTACAGGCGTGTGCCACCACACTCGGCTAATTTTTTTGTATTTTTTGTAGACACAGGGTTTCACTATGTTGTCCAGGCTGGTCTTGAACTCCCGACCTCAGGTGATCTGCCTGCCTCAGCCTTACAGAGTGCTAGTATTACAGGTGTGAGCCACTGCACCTGGCCATATTTTGTATTTTAGTAGAGACGGGGTTTCTCCATGTTGCCTAGGCTCGTCTCGAACTCCTGAGCTCAGGCAATTTGCCCGCCTTGGCCTCCCAAAGTGCTAGGATAACAGGCATGAGCCACACTTGGCCACTACAGTGCTTTCTTATACCAGAAATTAGTAAGGGAAATATTAGTCTCTATATAATTATGGAGTTGGATTGTGTAAGTTGTATGCTTTTTTTAAAAAAGAACTTTCATTTTCATTTTTTTAAAAAATTGTCTTGGCCGAGTGTGGTGGCTCACACCTGTATTCCCAGCACTTTGGGAGGCCGAGCCGGGCAGATCATGAGGTCAGGAGTTTGAGATCAGCCTGGCCAAGATAGTGAAACCCCATCTCTACTAAAAATAAAAATAAAAATAAATTTTTTTAATTAACTAGGCATGGTGGTGGGCACCTGTAATCCTAGCTACTTGGGAGGCTGAACCTGGGAGGCGGAGGTTGCAGTGAGCCAAGATTGCACCACTGCACACCAGCCCGGGCAACAGTTCGAGACTCTGTCTCAGAAAGAAAAAAAAAAAAAATTATCTTATAGAATAAAGAAAACTTCAAATAAAAACTCCTGTTAAACAATACTAAATAACTTTGAAAGTGGATATTTAGTTACTAAGTATCCCTCTTTACCCATAGACATTTATATTCATATTTCCGTTAATTTTTCACCACTCTCTAGAATTCACTAGAAGAGGCCTAGAAGAGGGCTCTGGAAAGGAAAAGAAGTTATCTCAGTGTTTGAGGAAAGCCAGTCCCCTGAGTAGCATCGTGTGGTATTTTATTTATCATAGAGAAAAATTTACATGGCTTTAAGCTATCCTGTGTCAAGGGACCGCAGGGCGACAGGCGCAGTGTCTGTTTCCTGAGATTTCTGGGACCAGGATCACAGTGGACCTGCAGGGCTGGGTTAGGTCAGCCTCCCCTGGGACTGGATTAGACCAGCCCCAAACCTGGCCAGTATCGCCCATCCAGAAGCATCACTGTGTCAAGGTGTGGAAACAGCAGCTGTGTGCAGTGGGGGATTCAGGCTGTAGGGTTCTACTTCAAACTTTATAACCCAGTGCAGAACAAAAGGACTTTGTTAAATAAGCAGGTGACCATGGTGAAGCCTGCAGCTTCCTGCATTATGGGAAGCTCAACCAAAGTGGGTATGATTGGTGAGAAAGGACAACGGTACAAAGTGCAGCAAGAGCCCGGCGTTTCCTTCAGGCCAGGGGCTAGCTGCATATATGGTCAGCATTAGCGCTGATCTTGCTGTTCAGAGGTACGTGGGGTCACTCAAACAGCATGCAGGGAAAAAATGCTGGAGACTTCAGATAGTTTAAAATCTAGAAAATAATTATTACCTAAATCTATAAGCATTCAATGCATAATCACATAAATCAAATAATATCATTTAAAACACCAAAAGCTATTACACTTTTTCTTCTGCTGCTTTTCTCTCCATTGTACTCACTCTAACTGTTCAGTTATCTATTTGGACAAAATACTTACTGCAGTTTGGAAGCCATTTACCAACAAAAAGTTCACGAATTTCACCACCTCCATAGCTGTGTCCATCGAATAAGTGATAAAGACTTTCCCTAAGAGAAAATGTTTACATTTATTAGAAACCGGTCAAATTATTCTATTCTAAACAAACTTCTAAATTATATGTAATATCTTTTGTCCTTCTGGAATAATAAGGGGAAACCTTGGGCTGGGGGTGCTCTAAGAGCTTATGCCTGCATTGTATGGGTTGCTGTCCTCAGGGCACAGCTCCTCAGGCCCAAAATGCCAGCGGGTCTGTCCAAGGGAGTGCAGACTGCTCAGCGTGAATGGAAATCAGAGCGACAGAGGAGAGCACTGGCAGGCTCAGACAAGCCCAAGGGGGCTTCTGAAAAACCGCGAGGCGTTAACAAGAAATCTACCACCCAGACTCCCGGAGTCCTTAAGATCAGGCACCGCCTAGTTTCTTAGAGACACTTGGCACTGTGCCCAAGGAATACTCTCGCAGCAGGCAAAGAAGCTAAAACTTGCTAAGGGGCCACCCAGCAGTGTCTCCTTTTGATCTCCTGATGCTCTCCGCCGCCCTGAAAGCTCGCTCTTCTGACAAGAGCAAGTGGGAGGAGAGTGAGAAAGTGGTTCCCCCGCTCCCTTCTTCCCCGCAATCCACTCACTTTTGGAGAAAGGCCAGGAAGTTTGGAGCAGACCAAAGCACAGCTCAGAAATGTTAGTTAAAAAAAAAAAAACAAAAAAAAAAAACTTCAGCAGCTTGAAGGAGAGACACCGCCTCTGGGCAGTCCAACATCACAGACTCCGTCACTCATCCCTGGGTCAGCTTAGAGCAGCAGACAGTACCGTTTGGACAAGCTTAACCCAGTCAAGATGAACCAGTGTTTTCTCAGGCTAAAGTCTTAGGGAAATTGTCTGACTAGCATTTTAATGTGAAAGCTGAATAATCTCTGTGTGTTGGCTTTTAGTCTGGAATGGACCAGTTAAATCTCAGGAAGCCCTTGGGGCAGAGGATGGAGAAGAAAGGGGGGCTGGAGAGAAAATACGAATCTGTATCTACTCTGAGGTTTTTTGAAATACACCTTCCAAATGGAAGTGTGTATAATGGTCATATTATACATTTAAGCAGCTAGATATATTGATGGCACTCAATTTTCTTCTGAACACCTAACATTCACCCAATTCTTACGTATTTTAGGACTTCCTTTATAGATTGTGGTAAGATATATATGATCTATAGACTGATATCAGGACTATAACGTATGCGGGGCAGCATCTGTTCTCCAGAAATGCTCAAAATTAAAATGATTACGATCTTAAGAAAATGTTCAGAAATAAAATGTTTTGAATGAAAACAGCAATGAATCATTGTCATAGAAATCTTTCAGAGTTGTCAATGACTAAACAGCACAGATCCCCCAAAAGGAATTAGCAGATGCAAAAGGCTTTGTTTCAGGTTTGGTTCAAAGAGGTTCCCAGATTTGGAAAATGCATATTAGAATTACCTGAGCTTCTCTAGCAAGCACATCATATAATAATCTCACAAATAGTGGCTGTTTTCTTAAGATTTCTGGAAATTACTGTCCTGATTGACCTTAATATGAGAACATTTTGGTGATATTTCAACATTTCTGGTTCTGGCAGCAAAATGTGGAAAAAGAATCATCACCTTACGCTTAGTCGAATGTTTCTTTAAATAAAAGGCTTACTTTGCATTTGGTTGTGATGCAGTATGGAGAATGTGAGATGGTTTTTTCCAAACAAGATTGCTCATTCCTACAGGAAATGACCTCGTTCCTGATGGCTGCTGCTAACTTATGGTGAGACGCTGGGTCCCTGTCCAATACCACATGGACATCCAATCAATTTACCCAGGGACAAGTCCACTCAAAAGCATCATTTAGAAGAGGGAAAAGGCATTGGGGTTATTTGTTTTTGGAGTATGTGCTTAAGGAAATCTAGAGGTAAGCAGTTTCTGAGCGTTACTAGTGGTGTCAGAATCACTAAAAACATTCATACAAAATGCTGGTTACTTTTTAAGCAAAAAGCAAAAAAAGTACATTTTATTTTACTGTGTATATAAGAAATAGCTGAGGTTATGAGGCCAGGTACAGTAGCTCACACCTGTAATCCTAGCACTTTGGGAGGCCAAGGCGGGTGGATCGCTTGAGTCCAGCAGTTCGAGACCAGCCTGGGCAACATGGCGAAACCCCGTCTCTAGTAAAAGTATAAGCAAATTAGCTGGGTGTGGTGGTGTGCACCTGTAACCCCAGCTATTCAGGAGGCTGAGGTGGGAGAATCACCTGAGCCCAGGAGGTTGAGGCTGCAGTTAGCCATGATCACACCACTGCACTCCAGCCTAGGCGACAGGAGTGGGCGACAGCGCGAGACCCCGTCTCAAAAAAAAAAAAAAAAAAAATCTGAGATTAGGGACGAGTGATCATCCAGTCATCACAAAGTACAAGACCTCACAAGAAGAAGGAGAGAACAATGTTGCAAACAACTTACGCAATTCTTCTGGCAAATTGCTTGTTTTTAGAGTTCCTCTGGCTGGAGGGTTGCTAGGAGGTCTAGGCACAGCAGCTGGGGACGGAGGCTGGGGAACCTGTGGTCTCAGCTCTGCAGGGCACTCCAAGGACTCCCCAGGAGTGCCAGCTCTATTAGGTGGCTGGTGATGCGGCTGTTCCCTAGAAAGGAATACATTTACAGTCAATTTTCATTCTTTACAAAGGCAAACCTTCAGGGACAGAAAGCCTTTTAGAACTATGGGAAGATCCCAGTGGGCTATCTCTCCTCTGCCTCTATTTCTTATCTGAGACAGAAGGAAGAAGGGAGCTCCATGGAGTTTTAGTCAATAAGCAATTCAGCTGGCTGCCACATGTGAAGGCCTGTGCTCTGACTCCAAAGAGGGAAGCAGGATTTCATTTCTCTATTCAAGATTTGTTTAATTGGAAAAACAAGTCTCATGCACAGGGCAGACAAGGTCACCAACAAAACAAAGTAGTATGACAGGTGACACAGATGGTTGATGTTATAGGCATTCAGATAAAAAGACATGACTTTTAGCTCATAATAGGTAACATTCAATTATGTATCAAAAGGTAAAGAGGGCCATGTAGATTTAGAAGTATTTGTACTGTTGACATATAAATGGAAATCTGATTTTGAAGACCCTTTAAAGAAGTTGTTACCATATTAGATAGCATCTTTATTATTTTGGTTGCCAGTATTCCCACGAGCATTCTGCTGAGACGAACAATCAGATGCCCTCATGTGAGATTTGCAGGGCAGAAGGAAATGGAGAGCACGCTTCTGCTGCTTCTGTGGTTTTTGTTGGTAAGCACGGTGATGAGGTGCTGGGTTTTCCCCAGAAAGCCTCCCAGCGTCCTGTTACCAGCTTCACAAGCATCGAGGGCAGGGCATGGGTATCCATTGTTCGCCAGTGGAGATCTATCTGGCACAGAACTGATCCAACCATTGCAGTGGTCACAGCGGTGTTGCTTTCTGATTCTCCACCTTCCTGGCTGCCAGAGGAGGCAGGCTCTTTAGTGGCCCTGTTCTGTGGTGTTGCGTGAACCGGTGGTAGGACTAAAACTGTCTCTATAATGTTTTATTTCTTTAAAAAAATTCTGAAGCAAATGTGACAATATGTTAACATTCTTAAAATCTGGGTAGTGGGAACATGGATATTGTTATTTGTTGTGTGTTTGAAATTGTGTCATATTATAAATTTTTAAAAAATGTTTTGACTACAAAATCTCTATGTATATGCCCAGTTTTTATAGATTGTTGCTTATGCTTTTCATATTTTTACCCAAAGAGTAATCAGGAATTCTAAAAGTCTTATGTAACAGGATTTGAAATAAAATTACACAGAATCTCAACTGTACTATATTTTGAAAATATGAATGCTTAAGATTATTTTTATTTCATATTTTTATTAATATAGAGAAAATAATTTCTATAACATAAGCTTTCATCTAATGGGGGGATCCCATTCCATATTTTTTCTCTTTTTCTTTTTTTTATTTCTCCAAGAAAAACCCATTCCAGTTATTTTGCATTAAATTCTTTTATACCAAAAAAACTGTTTCAAAAGTTGCTTAGTTGTTATAGAAGATGATTGCTTATATGATAAAGAAATGTTAAAGCCTTGATAATATTCAAAAATTTCTGTATAAAAACACCACCATGGAAATTAATGACAGAGTAAACTTTCCGAATTAAAGTTCTCTTTCAAACTATCAGTAAGAGGAGACTTAGCTAGCTTCTCTTTTTTTTTTTTTTTTTTTTTGGGACAGGTTCTTGCTGTCACCCAGGCTCAATCACAGCTCACTGCAGCCTTGACCTCCTGGGCTTGGGTGATTTTCCCACCTTAGCCTCCTGAGTAGCTGGGACCACAGGCATGAGCTACCACGCCTGGCTAATTTTTGTATTATTTTGGTAGAGATGGGGTTTCACCATGTTGCCCAAGCTGGTCACGAACTCCTGGCCTCAAGCGATCTTCCTGCCTTGGCCTCCCAAAGTACTGGGATTACAGGCATGAGCCACCATGCCCAGCCTCAGTTGGATGGGTTTGTGTGTATGTGTATGTATGTTTTGTTTGTTTGTTAGTTTTTGAGACAGAGTCTCACTCTGTCACCCAGGCTGGAGTGCAGTGGCACAATCACAGCTCACTGCAGCCTTGATCTCTTGGGTTCAGGCAATTCTTCTGCCTCAGCTTCCTGAGTAGCTAAAACCACAGGTATGTGCCACCACACCAGGCTAATTTTTGCATTTTTTTGTAGAGATGGGTTTTCGCTATGTTGCCCAGGCTGGTCTCAAATTCCTGGGCTCAAACAATCCACCCACCTCTGCCTCCCAAAGTGCTGGGATTACAGGTGTGAGCCACCATGCCCAGCCTAGCTCCTTTACCTGAACTTATTTTTCATTATCCTAAAATGATAAAATAGATCAAGAAGACCAGAGCGGGCTTAAATTGATGCTACAAAACCAATTACTCTGTATTATCTTTGCAACTCTTTTGTAAGTCTAAAATTGTTTCAAAATAAAAGTTTATTTTAAAAATTACTATTCTCTTTCCTATTCAACACCAAACTTATTTCATAAAGATGCTAACGTTTTATTTATTTCCCTGGAATTTTAGATATTTCTTCTGTAAGAGTGCCTATCCTGCTGTAAAATCACATTTTACCTAATTCCATTGTTTAAACTCCATGTATTTATGGTTTAGAAAAATAAGGGATCTGGCCCGGCACGGTGGCTCACACCCGTAATCCCAGCACTTTGGGAGGCTGATGTGGGTGGATCACTTGAGGCCAGGAGTTTGAAACCAGCCTGGGCAACAAAGTGAGACCCCTTCTCTACAAAAAATAAAAAAAATTAGCTGGGTATGGTAGCGGGCACCTGTAGTTCCAGCTACTCTTGGGAGGCTGAGGTTGGAAGATGGCTTGAGCACCGGAGGCAGAGGTTTCAATGAGTCGAGATCGCACCACTGCACTCCACCCTGAGTGACAGGGCCAGATCCTGTCTCAAAAGAAAAAGAGAAAAAAGGGATCCGTCTTGAAAGAAAATATGAGGGTTTGTGGGCTTCTGAGCAAAAGAGAAAGCAGGCATGTGCCTCTTCACCATTGTTAATAAAGTAGACTTTTTTCTTTCAATGAAATTTTCAAACTAATTACCACTTTCTGTATTTCTGAAAAATCCACTCTAATAGTAACTTCATATTTTAGTCTATGCAGTAAAAACAGAATCTAGTTTTACAGTGGTATAGAAAAGTTGTTTTTGAGCAAAAGTAAACATTTAATCTACTTTCTTCCAAATATTGTCATAAATCAGGACGCTCCATTTACATGAGTTTTATCTGTATATTTTAGATCCATAAATTAAGAGAAAAGGAAAATCCAAAGAGAACAAGGGGAAAAAATGATGAAAGAGGCAGGGCATGGTGGCTCACACCTGCAATCCCAGCACTTTGGGAGGCCTAGGCGGGCAGATCACAAGGTCAGGAGTTCGAGACTAGCCTGGCCAATATGGTGAAATCTCATCTCTACTAAAAATATAAAAATTAGCCAGATGTGGTGGCATGCAGCTACCTGGGAGGCTGAGGCAGGAGAATAGCTTGAACCCGGGAGGCAGAGGTTGCAGTGAGCCAAGATCATGCCATTGCACTCCAGCCTGGGCGACAGAGCAAGGCTCCGTCTCAAAAAAAAAAAAAAAAAGATTGAAGAGTTAGACAACTGAAATCATGAAAATACAGAGTTGTTTTTCTAAAGAAGCATAGGAGAGACCTAATAATGGTACTCAACATGTATGAATGTTTTTATTACAAAAGAAAATAATAAGCCAGGTGCAGTGGCTCATGCCTGTAATACCAGCACTTTGGAAGGCCAAGGTGGGTGGATCACTTGAGCCCAGGAGTTCAAGTCCAGCTGGGCAACATAAGGAGATCTCATCACTACAAAATATACAAAAGTTAGCTGGGCATGGTGGCGCGTGCTTCTAGTCCCAGCTACTTAGGAAGCTGAGGTGGGAGGATCGCTTGAACCTGTAAGGTAGAGGTTGCAGTGAGTCAAGTTTGCACCACTGCACGCCAGCCTGGGTGACAGAGCAAGACGCTGTCTCAAAAAAAGAAAAGAACAGGTCATTTTAAATTTTGATCAAAAATTAATTGAATTTAACATTTTAAAGAAAGAAATAGGCTTAAACAGGAATAGACACTAGATATATAAAGAATTGGCTACAGTGGAAGTCAGTCATAGTAAAAACAAAAATCTATTTTGTGGATTAAAAATTCAGATGATCTGAAAATAAAAGAAAGGGGTGTGACTTGGAGAACATCTGAAGAACCTTTCCTTCAACAGAATTTCGACTAGTCACTAGTGGCTCTCTGTGTCTGATAGAGATCCTTGTCAATCAGCTTCCATTTCCTCTTGACCTGAAAAGTCTATATTGGGCGTTCCACTGTGTGACTTGCTCACTAACGTGGATTAGCAAACCTATAGAGAATTCTGTTACATCTTCCTTGCATTGGCATAATTCCTTTCCATGTTAAAAATGCCTGAAGATTGGGCCTGTCATACTTACTGGTGCCTTGGAAGCCCCAGAAAGGAGCAGTCTCTCTGTGCGGGCCTCTCTTCTTGGTCCCAGGGGCTGGGATAATTCAGGATAACCTTCTGCACAGGGTGCAGGCCTCTCACACTGGCTCCAGGCAGTGGCTGCCCAGGCAGAGCCGGCTGGATCACTTGCTGGTAGGCTGCTCGAGGGTAGTCATGGCCATCTGTAGATGAAGACGACAAAGAGAACAGGGAACATCAACTCTAGCTCCTTCGTGTGAAAGGAGTCGTAAGCTCCATGCTCATTTGTGTCTTGATACCAGCTGAGGGGTCCAGACATCTGTTACCACCTCTGTGATGTTTGCCATATTTCTCTATTGTTGATTACTTGACTGTTTTCACAAAATTCACTTTTTTTGTCCTAAATAAAAACATATGTGAAATCACCAGTTTGGTATTCTAACTGGAAAGCTCAAAAAACTTTTCAAAAAACTCTACACAGGCTCCTCTTTTCGTAAGATTCTTAGAAAAATCCAACCATGAAGAACCTCTTTCACACCACCATTCCTACCATAATTTCCTTCATGTCCTAAATCCAAGGCTAGGAAAAATTATCTGTATGATAGATACAGAATCACTGCTCTGTCCTTTCCTCCCCCAAGTGGACACACACGTGCATGTGCACACACACACACACCCCACTCCCTCTTTTTTTTTTTTTTGAGACGGAGTCTCGCTCTGTCGCCCAGGCTGGAGTGCAGTGGCCGGATCTCAGCTCACTGCAAGCTCCGCCTCCCAGGTTCACGCCATTCTCCTGCCTCAGCTTCCCGAGTAGCTGGGACTACAGGCGCTCGCCACCTCGCCCGGCTAGTTTTTTGTATTTTTTAGTAGAGATGGGGTTTCACGGTGTTAGCCAGGATGGTCTCGATCTCCTGACCTCATGATCCGCCCATCTCGGCCTCCCAAAGTGCTGGGATTACACCGCGCCCGGCCCCCACTCCCTCTTAAGAAGAGGTAAATGAATGAAAACTTCGCTCATCCTCCTGGGAACTAGCCAACCCATTGGCAACACCCTCCAACTTCCTTGGTCCTCTCCTGCTAGAGCCTACCTGCAATTGGAGCCAGGGCTGTTTGAAGAGGGCTGAGCTCAGAGCAAAGCCAGAGCTGGCAGTGACTTATGTGAATGTGCAACCTGGGAAAAAGTGGGTCCCAGCCAGGACCAGGAGCAGCAGGGTCCCCAGGGAAGGGCAGCCTGCCTGACTAGGCAAAAGAATAGAACTAAAAGCCCAGAGGAGAGATGCAGGGAACCAAGTAAGGGTGAGAGGGAAGAGCTCTGAGGGAATGGCCCAGGCCCAAAGAGGGTAAGGTGTTGGGAAATGTGAGAGATGCAAGAGGACTGAAAAGAGCCAAATGGTAGCCCTGCAAGATGAACAATGAAAACCTCCTAGTGATCCAAGCACTGCCCCTGCTACCCACATAAGCATAAGACGATCCAGGAGGAGGCATAACTAGTTAGGACAAGAAGGAAGTGGTTTTGTTTATTTTTTTAAAAAACCCTCCTTGATCTTAAAATTCTTTTGATTCTTTTAAGATTAACCCTCATTGATCTTAAAATTCTTTTGCTGATTATAAAAGTAATAATCAAGTTTGCCTGCCATGTAGATAGGATACATATAGGGATGTACAGCAAAATAAAACTGGCAAGTAAACAAAAAAGTGACTGGTAGGTTGAAATCAAAATGGGAAGGGTGAGAATGTGGCTAAGAATTGATTCTTAAGGCCAGGCACGGTGGCTCACACCTGTAATCCCAGCACTTCAGGTGGCCGAGGTGGACGGATCACCTGAGTTCAGGAGTTCGAGACCAGCCTGGCCATCATGGTGAAACCCCATCTCTACTAAAAATACAAAAATTAGCTGGGTGTCATGGCACACACCTGTAACCCCAGCTACTTGGGAGGCTGAGGCAGGAGAATCCCTTGAACTTGGGAGATGGAGGCTGCAGTGAGCTGAGATTGTGCCATTGCATTCCGACCTGGGCAAAAGGGCAAGACTCCGTCTCAAAAACAAAAAAAAAAGAACTGTATTCTTAGTTTGGTAAAGCAGTCAGGAGCCATCTACATTTTCAAAGGGACATTCAGAGGAATGATGGCCTCAAGTACAGAACAAAAGACAAATAATGTGTACGTTCACTAGTGTGGCCTCCTCCAGGTTCTCATTGCCTAGACTCAGGAAACTGTTTGGGTGACCTGGCGACGTGCCCAAGCTAGTCTCTCAAGTGTGGTCAGATTCCCTGGACTCAATCTATTATTGTCTCCTTTGACCCATGACACCACCTGGGTCCTTCCGATCATGCTGCTTCTGGCAAAAGTGACCATGCCCCTCCCACCCAGACTGTCTCCTGGCAGGACCCCGTGACCCTTGCCCTGATATTGCTTAGGCCTGGTCATGACAAGTAGTAGGGGTTTAAAGAGGGGGAGGAGGAGAAACGAATCCACGTAGGTCTATCCCTGCACCTGGATGACAAAGGAGACTAGGACTTGAAGGGACTGCTCTCAGAATGGAAGACAGGCCCACAGAGACTCCTATGGTCTAGGACAAGGTCTACTGCACAGGCTTCACCTTGGCAGCCTTCTTAGGGCAGGGCGGATATATTCCAGGAGGTCCAGATCACCAGTTGCAGTTTCAGGGCAACAGGGCAGGTCACCACTGCTCCTTTCCCTCAGTTTAAAAAATAGCAAAAAATGGCCAGGCGCAGTGGCTGATTCTTAAGGCCAGGCACGGTGGCTCACACCCGTAATCCCAGCACTTTGGGAGGCCAAGGAGGAGGATCACTTAAGGCCAGGAGCTCAAGATGAGCCCGGACAACAAAGTGAGACCCCTTCTCTACAAAAAATAAAAAAAATTAGCTGGGTATGGTAGCGGGCACCTGTAGTTCCAGCTACTCTTGGGAGGCTGAGGTGAGCCAAGATGGCACCACGGCACTCCAGCCTAGGCAACAGGACGAGATTTCCATCTCAAAAAAAAAAAAAAGCAAAAAATGCCACTGCTATCAGGTCCCCAGGTAGGGGCCAGCCCTGCTTTTTGATGAGCCTTGTGTGAGCAGACCCTTTACAAACCCAGCTGTAGATAGAGCTGTCTTGGTGGACTGCACTTACAATCTACCCTGCTTGATCAGGTTCCAGCCCCTATAGATCTTGCCTCCCACGACACTCTCACTGGCCCAGTAAGCTCCGGCTTCATCTTGAATATCCCAAACTTGTCCTCTCCTTTGGGATCCTGAGTTTGCCACCCTCTTTGTCCAGAATGTTTTTGCCCTAGATTTTCAGACTGACTTCTTGCCATTCAGAACTCAGCCCAAATATCACCTGTGCAAAGAGGCCTGCCTCCTCGCCCAGTTACTTTATCCCATTCCCTAGTTTGCTTCCTTCATAGTTCCTATCATGGGTTTGCATAAGTAAGCATGACTTTTACCTGTCAACTTCGTGCCTGCCTTCCCTACTAGAACATAAGCTCTGTGAAAACATAGACTGTGTCCTCTTGCTACCATGTCTCCAAGGATAGCACCGGCACCCAGGGGACGCTCAATAGATGAATGAACGAAGGCTCAATAGTTACAAAGCCGACTTACAGAAAAAGAGAAGCCATTTAGGACTGCACAATCTATTAATACTTTCTAGGGCACAGGTCTCCTATACTAGGAGCCCCCAACTCCCAGGCCACAGGCTGGTATCAGTCTGTTGCCTGTTAGGAACCAGGCCACACAGTGGGAGGTGAGCAATGGGTGAGCAAGTGAAGCTCTGTCTGTATTTACAGCCGCTCCCCACCACTTGCATTACCACCTGAGCTCTGCCCCCTGTCAGATCGGCAGCGGCATTAGATTCTCATAGGAGCGCAGACCCTATTGTGAACTGCGCACATGAGGGATCTAGGCTGCGTGCTCCTTATGAGAATCCAAGGCCTGATGATCTGTCACTGTCTTCCATCGCCCCCAGATCTAGCTGCTGGAAAACAAGCTGAGGGCTGCCACTGATTCTACATTATGATGAGTTGTATAATTATTTCATTATATATTACAATGTAACAATAATAGAAATAAAGTACACAATAAATGTAATGCACTTGAATTGTCCCCAAACCATCCCCCTCCCCAGTCCGTGGAAAAATTGTCTTCCATGAAACTGGTCCCTGGTGCCAAAAAGGTTGGGGACCACTGCTCTAGACTATCTTAATTCTCTTCTGCTGTCCATCTGTTTGGGGGGTTTTTTGGTTTAATTGGTGTCTCCCTCCAGAAGTAGGAAGGAGAAAGACAAAGTAAAAGAGGAGAAACTTTGCCAGTGGCCTTAAAAGCGTTTAAGAGGAAAGAGCTGAAAGTATCTTGGGAAGTTTTTAATGTTTGAAGCCATTTTTGCTTCCTATATCCATTAATGAATGGCTAATACTGTTTTATTTGCTTTAAAAGGACTACCAAGCTCTAATCACAGGGTTTATTTCTTTTCCAGAAAGCGGATGTTAGTGCTGTTAATCAAAAGCCTTTGAATCAAGGTCATATGATTTCTAACAGATTATTTCCCGCACAACATGTTTTTGTCTCATAGCAACAAATCATATCATTAAAATCACCAAGGCATGTGGGGCTAAGTGTTTGATTAGCTGTAACTTTCATTTCAGAAACGGCCACCTGTGGTAAAAAGTTATGCCAGTTTATGTGAGCAGATGAAAATGATACACCTCATCAATTTCTAAAATTAGGGTACTGACAATATAGTCTTCCATGCTGTCCTTTTATTGTTGAAAACAAAGGAAAACTGAATATCAATGGATCAATAAAAAATGAGCATTCCCTTTTGTAAGTGGAATCTGACCAGCTTTGTCTGGAATTTGACTGGTTGTATGGAAAAGGTTCCTAAATAGGCTGGACATGCCTGTAATCCTAGCACTTTGGGAGGCCTAGGTGGTTGGATCTGTTGAGCCCAGGAGTTTAAGACTAGCCTGAGCAACAAGGTGAAATCCCATCTCTACAAAAAAAGAAATACACACACACACAAAAAAGAACTTGGGAGATGGAGGCTGCAGTGAGCTGAGATTGTGCCATTGCATTCCGACCTGGGCAAAAGGGCAAGACTCCGTCTCAAAAACAAAAAAAAACTAAATAAATTGCTAAATAAAAACTATGTTTATCAGGTAAAGGATCATCTTTTTCATTGCTCAAGCTTTAATCATTTT